CTGCCTAGGACAAACTATTCCATTTCTCCTTACACATTTTATCAGTGAAAATGCTTAGTAAATTATACATACTACGATCATATAAGGAAGGGTTAAACCCTTTCCAAGTGTTATGGAGATGAGGTTGCATGAACGATGCCGGTTACTTTTGTTTTTGAAACATCTGAGAATCAATATTTTTGATACAACACCGGTGACGTGAAAAACATGTTTGTTGCAATACTCTTGTGGCGTCACTGTATTTTATTCTCCTTCTTACCTAACAGAAAAGGTTTTCAGTACCACTTTCATTTATAGAGTATACATATAAGTACGCATCTCTCTTACTGCCTCAATAATAGCGTTTTAGATACTTCATGTCGAATGTAGGAATCCTGTTTCGATTTCAGCTTCAAGGAGATTACTCGGTCGGCATCAGCATTCTGTGTTTTAGGAGGGCATACATTTTAAACTACTCCATGGTGTCGCAATGACGTAAAAGTATAAAACCTGCTTTAGTCAAGACCTATACCAGCACGCACGCATGCACGCACGCAAGCGCGCGCTCGCACAGGCATCACTATTATACTGCCATGACAGTGACCGCAACGTTAAACCAAATTTAGGAAATGGTAACAGTTACTGTGAGGGAATCTTTGTCAACATCTAAACGCAGTAATACTATGTGTTTTCTCATACCTGAACACAGTAATACTATGTGTTTTCTGATACCCGAACACAGTAATACTATGCGTTTTCTAATACCTGAACAAAGTAATACTATGTGTTTTCTAATACCTGAACACAGTAATACTATGTGTTTTCTAATACCTGAACATAGTAATACTATGTGTTTTCTAATACCTAAACAGTAATACTATGTGTTTTATGATACCTGAACACAGTAATACTATGTGTTTTCTAATTCCTGAACACAGTAATACTATGTGTTTTCTGATACCTGAACACAGTAATACTATGTGTTTTTCTAATATCTAAACACAGAAATACTATGTGTTTTCTAATACCTGAACACAGTAATACTATGTGTTTTCTAATACCTGAAGACAGTAATACTATGTGTTTTTCTGATACCTGAACACAGTAATACTATGTGTTTTCTAATATCTAAACGCAGTAATACTATGTGTTTTCTAATACCTGAAGACAGTAATACTATGTGTTTTCTAATACCTGAACACAGTAATACTATGTGTTTTCTAATACCTGAACAAAGTAATACTATGTGTTTTCTGATACCTGAACACAGTAATACTATGTGTTTTCTAAATACACAGTAATACTAAACACACAGTAATACTATGTGTTTTCTAATACCTGAACACAGTAATACTATGTGTTTTCTAATACCTGAACACAGTAATAATACTATGTGTTTTCTAATACCTGAACACAGTAATACTATGTGTTTTCTGATACCTGAACACAGTAATACTATGTGTTTTCTAATACCTGAACACAGTAATACTATGTGTTTTCTGATACCTTAACACAGTAATACTATGTGTTTTCTGATACCTGAACACAGTAATACTATGTGTTTTCTAATACCTGAACAGAGTAATACTATGTGTTTTCTGATACCTGAACACAGTAATACTAAGTGTTTTCTTATATCTAAACACAGTAATACTATGTGTTTTATGATACCCGAACACAGTAATACTATGTGTTTTCTAATACCTGAACACAGTAATACTATGTGTTTTGTGATACCTGAACACAGAAGGTGTATGTGCTATAGTCAAGTCTTGGCAATGCCACAGCAAGTACATTAATTGTGATAGGGAAACGGCCTTATCTGTTGGTGATATGTACGGTATTGATGTCCCAGATGACGTGAATGTTAGTTGAGCCTATAGTTGTTAGATACAGCCAAATGTGACACGCCCATCACAACAATGGGGCTATTTATAATGCTGTCTCACATTTTCCTGGAAACTTCGACTTCTCGGGGAAATGTAATGACTGCCTTATTACGTGTGCATGCCAATCTAGTTCAGGTGTCATTGTCGCCACAGATCGTTCCCGGGAAGACATCGTATTAGTATTATATACTCATAGAAACGAATAAGTGAACACATGAAAGTGCAAGTGTTCCTTTACTCTTTCCCAGGTTTCTTCACAAGGTATGTATTGCACTGTGAGTGAAATTCTGGAAATAATTAAGGAACCCTTCATATGAAATTTATCATCAAGATGCATTCAACATGATGTGCTTGTGTCAGAACTGATACTGGATTATCATCTTATTTCAACTGTAATGTTGGCCCAAGGCAAGGATGTAATTTAAGTCCTCAAATTTCATCATTTTAATAAATCAGCTATCAAAAATGCTAGAGAATGGTGGGGGAAGAGGTATTTTTGTATTGTCACAAACCAATGATGTTTCTTCCCTCCTATTTGCTGATGATGTGTCATCTGTATCTGACAAAGGAAAATTGATGTTATGTGATAATTATTCATTAAACCTGTAATATATGGCCACTGATTAAAGACAAAAATGGCATAACGTTTTCTCCACAACTGATGTTCCGGCATTACTAGAAGAAACATGATGGTCACAATTTACAGCTGGGAAAATATGATTTGATGAAAAACGAGTACCTGCCACACGCTTGTAGCATCAAACAATTGTAACAATACAATTCAAATAAATTTTAACAAGCATATAGTACCTATCGTACCTCAATTGCATCCATCAATGCTCATGATTTGATCACTGGATTGTCTGGTCAAGATAACTGTAACTGAAACATTGTAGAGTGCGGCGTTAAACAACAAACAAACAAACTAGTACCTATACACCTACATCACCGAACCCACCCTTTTCAATAAAGGTCGATACGAAAAGATGCTTTGAAAAACGAATTCCGCTAAAATGGTACCTTAACATATTTTGCTTAAAACAAAAACAAAAAGAGAATTGAATTCTGGTAACAATGTTCTTGCAATCGGAGAAGTATATACAGAAATGAACTGAACTATATTTACACTCCGGCCGCGTTCTGCGGCATTAGAGGTACAAGTTTACATCATAATGTACAACATGTATGAAACATAAAGTGGTTATACATACATATCACTTGGTTGAAAGAATACACTGTATGTTCATACATTTAACCAGTTAAATGAACAATGTTACACTCATGCGTTATTGGTTATCTTTTTAGGGGCCGTTGCTTAAAATGAGACATTGTTATCTTGCAAAATATTGCTAATTTCCTAATTGTTCCTAGTTTGTTAGAGTAAAAAAGCTGGTTTATTTTCTGCATGAAGGAAAACCAAGTTCCTTGGATAGTCAATTTCTTTATTGCAATGGGTGCGACGTTTCGGTGTAGGTACTAACACCACCATCAAGCATGTGATACAAAGAGTTGTAACATGGAGAATATATACATAGCTGCATAGTGTGTATATACAAATGACAAGGTTGATATACATTGGATTGCTAATTAGTGATTTGAGCAGAGTAGGTTGATGTACAGAGTGATAGTGATTAAAACAATCTGCAGAATGAGTTTATACAATAGATGAGTTGATGTTCTGTTTCATGTGCGAAACAGCTCTTTATTTCTTACCCATCTATAGACTAAACCTAGTCTGGTGGTTTATTTTCTTGCGTAATCTATATAAATGACCAGTCTAAAAACTATTATCCGGTTTTGACCAGTTTGCAGGTTTCAGGCGGCATGGCCGAATATTCTTGAATCCTCATCATTTTGAGTAATATAGGAGTAACACAGCAACGAGCGAGTATGTATTAAGTCTTTTATTTTGTATTTCATGTAAATCTAGATGCATAAGTATCAGTTGAGGCATGTTAAGCGATTATAAGTTTGTTATTGTAATCTAGGAAGTAGCGCTGTTCAGCTTTCGATCAGGCATAATTCGCGTACAGGACTTTATGGCGTATATTGGCTTAGACTTCTATGACTGCATGTGATATTTTAAGGGCTTTATGATTTAGGTATTGTAGAAACACAGTTTGCACTCTTGTTAAATGCGTAAGTCATTTAGGTGTAAGTTTGCCAAACTTCCATGTTCAAGTTGCTCTATTGAAGCGCAACTTGAACATGAAAGTTTGGCAAACTTACACCTAAATGACTTACGCATTTAACAAGAGTGCAAACTGTGTTTCTACAATACCTAAATAATGTGCAGTTTACATGCAGAATAAGGCATACGGAGTTGCTTCCCTTTAACTGTTATTCTATCTGAAATTTATAGAGCCTATGTAGCCTATTTCAGTGTGCATTTCATTATTAATATTTGGGAAATTGTGTTGTTTTCTGACATTGTATTGATGTTTAGGATTGTGGCAGAATATTCAGGATAATACTTGGTGTAGGTACCGGGTGGACTTTAACGAATATTTGAGGACATATACTATTGTCAATGTATTTTGTAGTTGCATGTCCAGTTTAGGTTTTCACTGTGACAGTTTTGGATATCATATTTAGGCATACCAAGGCTAATGACTTAGTGCTATGGAATGTAATACTTACCATATTCAGGTCTATATAGACTAATTGGCCTTTTGTACTTTTTAGTACCTTTGGTGCTAAATATTAACATCTTGCAAATGAAAGGGATCGCTATCCACAATAGTTGATGTACACTGAGATGGTAATGTGAGATGAAGAGAGTAGGTTGATGTACACATTGATTGGTTGTGATTACAATACACAAAAGGGGAGAATAGAAGCCAGTTGGACCAGGTATAGGTGGATTACTGGTAATCTTTAATTAGGTGGTGATAGGCTGAGGAGATCAAATAACCTTGATCCCGGTTCATGGTGGGGTTGAAGCGTTGGATTTTTATGGCTTCAAGAAGTTTCCTAATCTTGTAGTCTGATCAGTTGGTTTCCAGGATGTGGATGTTGTCCCAAAGGATGGCATGGTCAGGGTTGGCTTGGGTGTGGTCGGCTATGGCGGAATTGGAGTCTTTTTTTCTGGACTGAAGTTTTGTGTTCTTTAATTCGTAGTGGGAGACTACTTCATCTATGCAACTTCTAAAATGCCTGTCAAAGAAGTTATTTTCTGCATATTCGGGTGTCTGCAGAAATAGTTGTTGATATATCTTTTACCTTTCTTGGGCCAAGGTAGGGCAAATGAACAAAAAGTTCATCTCCAATATCGTTTGTATTATAGAGAGTATATATTCTTTCATTTGGGGGAGTTTCGATCCATCGTCCTGTTTCAATTGGTAGATAATTGTTTGAAGTTTTGAAATTAAGTAACGCCCTCCGATCATTTTTATGTAATGAATTCAGGTAGGTTTTCGTTTTTCAGTTCATATTTTTTTTAAATATTATAAGTAGCTCCTCTTGAAGATTTTCTGTGTGTGATTTCCAGGTCTGTAGATTGATTTCTTTAAGTCTGTTTACAACAGGTGCTTTCAGACTATGTTTTAGGACCTGACATTGTAGTCCAAATATAACTCATTCCAATTTTGTCCTCAAAACAGGTGCAACCAAGCAATCGTAACTGACAATCACAAGACAAATTAAGTAATCCACATTTGTTTAAAACAAAATGCATAGTCTTGGCGGCCTTCTCAGCTAAATTCTTTTTAATCAAGGTGGATGGATAAATTTTTGCATTGTGATTCCTAGGTATATATACTGAAAGGCAAACGAAACGTCGTAGTATTGGAAATGACATTTAAGCATCAAAGGAGTATTTGAACCTTTTTTAAAAAAATATACACCGGAAGTTTGTGGAAAACATGGATCGTGGTCATTCGTGCATTCAGGAATATATTGCCGTCTGGAATGGCAATCTTTCACTTGTTGATCGTGATGACTTTGTACATGGCGTGGACTTAGTACCTACACGTGACGTCATAGATAATACCGTCAACTTGTACGGTGAACTACTGATAGACTTTCTGGTAGGCATAAATTTCTGTATGCTGAACGGTCGATATGAGACTGGGAACAACTTTACTTATATCAGTCCACAGGGACGTTCAGTTGTGGATTATGTGTTGGTGCCCCACGAGCAAATCCCCTTAATCTCAGACTTTCAAGTGTTACCAATATCGTCGATAATTGATCAGTACAATGCTGATGTTCCGTGCTCTCTCCCGGACCACTCCATACTGCAGTATACTCTTGACCTGTCAGGATTTGTGACGCCACACGATGATGTCGCCCCATTGAGCAGTGATGTCACAAGCAGTACAAAATGGTACAGTTGTAAGCATATCCCTAAAGGCTTCCTAAACAATGACTCCTCTGTACTTCTTATCTCTCAAACAATCGACAGAATCCAGAAAACTGTTGACAATGCAAACGAAATCGACCATGCGTACGATGACTTTGTCGACCTGATACATCAGGAGATGGAAGACAAGTTGCCTGTTCTCAAGAAGAATTCTGGACCCGTACCTAAGAAGTCGTTCAAGAAGCCGTACTGGTGTAATGAACTGCAAAATCAGTGGGATATGACGTCACGGTGTGAACGGGAGTGGCTACGTAGTAAAGCCGGTGTGTGTGTGAAGGCGAGATTGAAGCAGAAATACTGTGATGAAAGACGAAAGTTTGACCGATTGAACCGAAAATTAAAACAGCAACACCAAAAGCAAAAACAGTTCAACCTCCTGGATAAACTGAATCAAGCCGATGCTGACTTCTGGAAAATAATCGGCAATCTTGGAATCGCAAATGAGAGAAAACAGAAACTTCCTATGGAGGTGAAACTGGAAGACGGTACTGTCGTGAGTGACGTGCATTCTGTGCTGAGCAATGGGGAAAGTGACTTATAGAGGCTGTATTCCGGAGCAGACGGCGACGACTACGACAACCGTTATCTAGGTGAGGTGAAGCGTGAGGTTGAACTATTAACTAACGGTAATGCTGCGCGGCACGAGGAGAGCGCTCTCAACGCACCGATCTCACGTAAAGAAGTGCGCAGAGCTGTGCACCGGGCGAAGAACGGTAAGGCAGAGGGTATAGACAATATCAAAGCTGCAGTTCTTAAAAACGACGCCTGTATCGAGATATTGTATAACCTATTCACCAAATGTTTTGATAGTGGCATCACTCCAAGTGCATGGAAACAGTCGATCATTAACCCTTTAGTGAAAAGTGACACCGATGTGCGTTCACCTCGAACCTATAGAGGGATCTCCCTAATATCTGTACCCTGCAAGATCTATTGTGATGTCCTCAATCATCGTGTCTCATCTTGGCTGGACTCTAGTAACATCTTGTCAGATTCTCAAAACGGATTTCGCAAACACCGAAGCTGCTTTGATCACATATACAGTTTGTACACACTGCTGAAGACTAGGCTGGATTGTAAGCAATCAACTTATACTTGTTTTATCGACCTTAGAAAGGCTTTCGATAATGTAGACTGGAACTGCTTATGGTTGAAGCTGCTACGTGCAGGGATCAACGGGAAGATGTTCTCTACCATACAGTCTCTCTACCATAAAACCTCTAGTGCAGTACGTGTCAATAACCTTATGACGTCATTCTTTCAAGTGTCAACGGGGGTGAGGCAAGGCTGCACCCTGTCCCCCACTCTGTTCTCCCTCTACATCAATGACCTGGCGGAGGAGATTACCAACCTCAATGACGGTGTATCTGTAGACGAACTCTGTGTCTCCATATTACTATATGCAGACGATATAGTTCTATTAGCCCCAAGTGAAGACAAACTACAGCGAATGTTGGACGTGGTGACACGGTGGTGTTCTAGATGGCGTCTGAGTATTAACACGGATAAGGCAAAGGTTGTGCACTTCAGACGGTTTAACATTGATAGATCTAATTATCAGTTTCGATGCTGCAACACGGCCTTATCATACAGTGATTGTTGCAAGTACTTAGGACTGTGGTTTGAGGAACACCTTGATAAAAAGTTCACAGTAAAGGAGATCGCAAAAAGTGCGAGCCGTGCTCTGTCTCTACTCATCACTAAATATAGACAATGTGGTGATATGGCATATGATGTGTTCACAAAACTCTATGAATCAACAGTGCAGCCTATCTTACTCTACTGTGCATCTATTTGGGGACTATATGGACAGCGTGAAATACGTAACATACAAAACAGAGCTGGTCGTTTCTTCCTGGGTGTACCTCGTAATACGTCTAACTGTGCTGTTCAGGGTGAACTTGGTTGGAGGACTTGTCTCACTAAACAGCGGATAGAGAGTTTCCGTTGTTTTGTCAAATTGTATCATATGTCAGAGGACAGACTTACGAATAAGGTATTTAGGTGATCCATGAATCGAAAAGGTTCTTTTGCTTTTAACCCTGTTAAATTGGGTAGACAGTTGCTGTTGTATGATACTTTGTTATCGCCGACTTCTGGTATCAATTCCAAAATATCAGTCATTAAACAACGTTTGTGTAGATTAGATGAGGAAAAGGGGTTTTCAGAGCTTTGGGACGACAAAGGCAAGGTTAACGGCAATAAGTTACGCACATACAGGTTGTTTATAAACGATTGTAGACCAGAACTGTATGTAAGATATATTATGTCTAGACATAGGAGAAGTAATCTAAGTAAATTACGCTGTGGTATCTTACCTCTTAATATTGAAAATGGACGTTATAGCAAGCCCCCCACACCCATAAATCAAAGATTATGCCCCTTTTGTGACTCTGTAGAGTCTGAAGCCCATTTTCTTTTAAATTGTGCTTTTTACCATGATCTTAAAAGTAACTTTATAGACGAATTTAGTTTTAGCCCAGATGATAGTGACCATCTGAAATTTATTATGATAATGAAGACTACTGCAATCAAGGTTCTTAAACTTTTAGCTGATGCTATCACCGATATGTTCCGTAGAAGGCAGTTACATTCTTAATATATTTTCCCAATGTACTGTTTTATGTATGTCATGAATACAATCGTCCAGATTGTATATTGTACATTTTTTAGTTAAAATATTTTAGTAGTGTCTCGTAAACCAATGTTATGGCTGGGTAATATGTTTTATCTAGACATATGAAATATTGTTTTACCTGTAACATATCACGTGACACTTTAATAAAATATTTCTGTCTTTCTGTCTGTCTTGTTTTCTGAACACAGCAGTTATGGATAGGTGAACGAGAGGTGTTGATGGACGATATGACTGTCCTGGCGACGTGTTGTTACACGGGGTCGACCACAACGTGGACGGTCATCATTGCTGTTGGTGGCGTTGTATCGCTTTCTAAGACGTTCTATCGTTCATACGCTGCAATTGAAGTCATTAGCAATGACTCGAGCTCGTTGACCAGCGTCTAGACGTCCAATGGCTTGTTGACATTGATTTCTCGTTAACCTAGATTTCTCCCACCCCTTGATGTCAAGTGACTTTAAGCTTATCTATGTATTTGAAGACCTTTCATGGGTGCTAGCTGAGAACACTGTGTTGTCCTGTGCTCTATTCAACGGATGTGACCATGCCTTCGAGTTGGAGCAGGAAAATGAGACTTAATATGCTTTGTGACTCGATTTCGAAGATGAATTCCAGATTGGACGTGTGGAAGAGGCTAAGTGTCCTTTCTGCAGGAGAGGGTACGAAAGTCGCTGCTGTACGCACATTGCGGCCTTGGTTCATGTTGTCAGCTTGCTGTTCTCCCACACACTTGATCAGCCTGGCGGACACTGTGTTAATGGACCTGTGGTGAACAGGTTTACCACTTCCAGCTTGTAGACGTTGAGAGATATCACTGTAGGTTGATTGGTGCTTTGGTCTATCACATTAATCTGGCCTTGAATTGTCTTTGTCTTGGTTCAGTGAGTTGGTTCCTCTGCAAAAATGTTTCTGATGAAGGCTTTATAAACTATAGTTCTGTATTCGGCTGATCCAGATTAAACGGTATCACATCGACTCTGAGACAGACATTGACAGTCATAGGTCCAAAGGCATGCTTCAGTATGTTCTCAGTGTTGAGAGACTCGAAAATACTTAGAATATTATCTCGACCCTTTGTCAGGTCGATGAATCGAACGAATTGACTGTTTCTGCCCTCTGCACTTATTTAGAATGGTTAGGAAGAAAAGAGGTTTGTTGCTTTCAGATAGTGGTGTTGGCACAATTCAAGAAACTGTCCAGCTCCATCTATCTTGCCAATTCTGTTAGCCATGACAACAGGGCGTGGATTCGTGGTCAATACCTTCTTCCACTGCATCAGTGACATCAAGTAGCAGCTTGTCCTGTCGTGTGATCCTATGATAATGGTCTGGTGTTGTCATAGAACTGGAACTCATCCTTCACCTCGACGAATGTACAATGTACATGCTGACGAGGCCAGTCACTCTTTCTAGTTGTATCATTCTGGCAATCAGCCCGTGACAGTGAAGCTTTCCTGTTCGATCAGATGTCCACTTGCAGTCTCAGATGTTGATGACAGCAGTATTGATTGCATCACTGATATCGATTGGGTTATCTGTTTGGGTCTTTACATACTGCAGAGAAGACAGATCAGAGCACAACGATTTGATCTCTTCCACTAGTAAAAACAAGTGGTTGTACAATATTCTGCGCCAAACATGTCTGACATATTACTGGTAGACTCCAGGACTTATCTATTCGAGGTGCAGGCAGATTGTGGAGGGCGAGTCACTGCCTTTGCATATACAGCTCCAGGTTATCTGTACGATCTAGTCGAAGACTATGTCCCTACAAGAACTCTCCGTGGCATCGAATGCTACTTAAAACCCCTAACATCAAGCCCAAGACATTCAGCGCTTTGAACTTTTGTGAGCCATAACAACTAAAAGTTAAATAATGTGACATTATAATCAACAAGAACATATCCTCTGACACTGTGAACAAGATTTAGTGAGAACACATGTATTGTATAATTCACCAGGTTCAGCATGATTTATGGAGCGCTCTGGAAAGACCATCGATGAAGGTTTATTTTGAACCTTTGAATGACCTGTGCAGTGTTCAGTTGAAGCGAGGCAGTGAGCTAGCACATCTCTATGCAATGTACATTCTTTGGCAAAGTGCCAGTGTTTACCTTTGTGTACATGTAATTGATCACACCGTGCGTTAACACAAACGAGTTACTATTGATATTCAGTTGGTGCGACCGATACAGTTGCATGCTGGTGTGGCTGGGGAGGGGAGAGGTAGGTAGGCAGTGTCTATTTGTAGCGAGGCAGTGAGCTACCACACCTATCCAATGTACATACTTTGGCGAAGTGCCAGAAGTTAAACCTTGGTACACAGTATATACCTTTGTGTACATATAATGGATACCACCGTGCGTTAACACGAACAAGATACTATTGATTTTCAGTTGGCGCGATCGATGCAGTTGCATGTCGCTCGGGTGACATGTAAATACTTTGGCAGACTGCCAGTTTTGACGTCATAACACTTCTGGGTATATGCACTTCTTGGTATAGGCCCTGCAATAAGTCTTCACTGCGTTCAAATTAATTCGACTGATATGGACATTAACAGGTTTGTATGCATATGTGTGGGGGTGTGTGTGTGTGCGTGGGTGCGCGCGCGCAAATGATTGTCTGGTCACTGGATTGTCTGGACGAAGTTGGCAACAGTTGTGGGATACAGGTACTACCGGCCGACATATGTACAAACTTAGATCATCACTAAAATCTGGTCATAAAATTCGTCGTCGTAAAATGCGTGATGAGGTTATTCTTTCACGTCTGAGACTTGGACAGTGTGGGATAATTACCTACAGGAGTATTATAGATAAATCGGTCTCTTCTAAATGTGGCCGTTGCAATTTGGAGATGCCTGAAAACATCAAACATTATCTAATTACATGCCCTGGGCATAACAACATAAGACAAAATCTCAGAAGTGCTGTACTTGAGGTTGATGATGTATTCTCATTAGAAACTGTTTTGGGCCCCAATATCATGTATGGGTCTGTGCATAGGGCAGTTTGTCTCGTCATCTAGAAAATATGATGTAATCTAGACAGGCTCTCGAATGGCTTAGACAGAATTAGTTCTGTGGTTTTAAATCATTTTAACACTCATCTGAACCTACAGCTTTTTTATTGAATGAGTATTTCATGTTTCAGAAATGGAAGTGATTACTTAAGGTATCTAATCCGTAACACGAAGCAGAGGTTATTCCATATATGTATACATCTATCCAAATTAATAGTGTTGTCGTTTCTTTTATCTTAGCTAAACGATTCCTTTTGGCAATGGAATTACATATGATTGTTTATTAAATCAAGGCAATGTGTTGGGCGCAAATAGGCCTCTTATTGGCCCACGTCGCCCTAAAACTATAAAACCAACCAACCAACCATCATGGTGCATGGCAATACTCAGTCAGACTGTGTTAGACATTTATGAATAAGATGAAATGGCGAAATTATACTGGGTGTTAGTATCTCATACAACTACAGAACACATGAAACATAATTAGAATACTTAAATGAAAATAAGTGAATATTGCTTTACACCACATCAGCTCACAGACACATTTACAGAGGAAAGTAAGTTTGTATGTTTGATTGCTACTATATGATCACCGTCTGTAAGTAATCTACCTTGTAACAGATTTCGATAAAACATTTTCATAATCTTTAGGGATTGGTTGAAATTTAAGTAAATCAACTTCAGGAAACTGTAACCCAGATTTGGCCAAATTATCTGCAATCTCATTCCCATGTATTCCAACATGTGCTTGGACCCACACAATGTCGCATGCAATGTACTTCATGCTTAAAGATGTATCCAACTTTAATATCTCATGCACAATGTCATCTCTAGATCCATTTGCACCAGCTTCTATGGCTTTGATTGCTGCCATAGAATCTGTAAAGATAATTGCTTCATGGTCATATGTTCATCTACCCATCTCAATGCTTGCAAAATGGACAAAAGTTCAGCTGCAAAAACAGAAAGGTAATCAGGGAATCTGAACACCTCAGCGATCGATAAATTGGGTACCCAAAAAGCCCCAGCAGTACGATTATTAGATGGTTCTTTCGATGCATCAGTGTATATATGTGTGAAATTAGAATAATTTTCAGACAGAAAGTCTTGAGTTATCACTTTTATTATGTTTTGGTCCATTCTCTTATTCACGATTAAATTGAGTTGAGAATTCAATCCAGGCTTCAGCAGAACCCACGGAGGTGTGACAGGCGGAGCAGAAGGATCAACTGGGTTACAGTTGTAAATACCATGTTGATCAGCTAATCTCTGAATATTCAAGCCAAAGGGTAATTTGCCATGAGTCCAGTCACACATGACATATTCCACACAGTCATTAACAATCTCAGTGACTGCATGGTATTTGTTCTTGGTTTTCATTTTCAAGAAATATTTCAAAGATACCTGTTGTCTTCGAAGGTGAAGGGGCATTTCTGAACACTCAACTTGAAGAGCTGAGGTTGGAGTTGTACAATATGCGACTGTGCATATTCTCAAAGCTTTAGACTGAATTCTATCAAGCTTATTAAGATGACATTTAGCCGCCGACATATACACCTGACAACCATAGTCAAGTCTGGACAAGATAAGGGCCTTGTACAGCAATAACATAGTTGACTTATCAGCGCCCCACTTTGTTTTTGAAATACACTTTAATAGATTGATGATCTTGTTACATGTGTTATACAAATGTGTGATGTGATGAGACCATGTTAATCTTTGATCAAAATACACCATGATGTGAAGGACACATTAGTTATCTCCCTTAGACCGGTTCAGTGCGCGGCAAATGTTATGTCTGTCTGTGTGTCCCTTCGAAATGTGAAAGCCATACAATGTCACGTTCACCGTTGTTCGTCGGAGTTTGTAGGGTTGGAAACTGTCATAT